ACCTCTGCGGCCTGTGTCTTTATCTGAGACTCTCCATCAGCCAGGCCACATTTCCCACGTGCACTTTGTGAGTTTTGACACAGCCGCAGGGGGCCTGCCACGGAGCCCTGGCCTTGAGGAGCCCACCTGCCCGCTCCCATGTGGACCAGCTGCTCCTGGACAGCACAGGTTGGTGACAGGTGAAAAAGCAGCGGGGGGCGGAAGCGAAGGCTGCTGTGACATTTATACAGGGACTGGGCACGGAGCCGCAGGGGCAGCGAGGAGGGCAAGCCAGCCGAGGGAGGCTGGGGACCCAGGGGAGACACGGGGACGTGGTCTGGATTTACGTCTGCAGAAGCTCACGGAGCTTGCCTGGGAGCTGGAAGCCCCCGGGGGTCTGTTCGGCACACCTTTCTGTCGTGGGAGTGTTTCCGTACCTTCCTGAGAGCTCTCCGCGGCTCCTGTCAGGCGCAGTTTCTGGTAGTGAGGCTGTAAACTTCCCTAAGCCTGGATCATGTGCTCCCGCGCCTGCCAAGGTCGCATTGTCACCTCCACCCAAGGAACGGCAGTCTGGCGGGTGAGGCCGGCTGGCTCCTCCCACTCAGCGCTCCAGGGCCCCTGGGGACCTGAGGGTGTTGGAGGAAGGGTCCACGGGGTCTTGCTCAGGTTTATCTCGTCTGGTTGTTGGAAGAGTTCATGAATGTCTCCACGTGGTTCTCCAGGTGCTGGTGTGGACACAGAAAGTGTGTCCACTCCCAGCTCCAGGAAGGGACTGTCCCTCAGGGCCTCAGGCTCCTCACCTGCAAAAGTGGGACAATTCACTTAATCCCCAAGGAAAGCTGCGAACTGAGTCCCTCCAAGAGGGACATGGAGGAGGGCAGCAGCTGCAGACAGGCCATCGTGGTCAGCCCGTGGGGCACTGGGCTGGCGTGGTCAGCCCGTGGGGCACTGGGTGGGGGGGCTCTGTTTTCTGGCTGAGTGAAACACTTTCTTCTAGAGCTTCAGGTTTGTTTTTTTTTTTTTTCGTTTAAGATTTTATTTATTTATGTATTTGAGAGGCAGAGTTACAGAGAGAGGGAGAGACAGTGAGGTCTTCCATCCGATGGTTCACTCCCCAAATGGCCACAATAGCCAGAGCTGGGCCAATCCAAAGCCAGGAGCCAGGAGCTTCTCCCGGGTCTCCCACATGGGTGCAGGGGTCCAAGGACTTGGGCCACTTCCACTGCTTTCCCAGGCCATAGCAGAGAGCTGGATCGGGAGAGGAGCAGTGTCTTCCCACACCAGGATGGCCCTGTGTGCACTCGAGGACAGAGCAGAGTGGCCTGCTAGGTGCCCAGGAAGCAGTCCCCACTGGGGTGCAGCTGGGGCTCGGCCATCTTCTGATCTCCCCTTCCAGACTTTCCTGCAGTGGTGCAGCCCCTCAGCCTGAGCAGGCAGCCTGGAGGGCCCACTCGTGTAACAGCCTTTCTGTCCAACTGGGGCAGCTCACTTTCATCCCGTGGGTCTGGGGTAGATGATGCCCATTTCCAGTGGTGACTGTCGGGGTCACACGGACAAGGTGGGATGTGCGCTTTGTCAATTATCAGCTCATTCTCCATTTCGGGCCCAGGACATTTCTTCCAGACAGTCGGCCTTGACAGGCAGGAGCTTAGAAGGCTAGAAGTTTCCTGCTGCAGGTAGGGGGCAGAGGGCAGAGGGCAGAGGTAGCATTCCTGGAAGCCAGCGTGCAGCTGGTGCTACACCCTAACTCCTCCCCCCCAGCAGTATTCTAGTTTTTGTCACCCTCAGGCAGGTAGGATTGTCACAGCAAATGAGGCCAGGGATCCCAGGAAGAGAAGGAAAGAGTAGGTCAGAGGCTATGGAGAGTATTCTAGAAGCTGTTGGTGCCAGGTCCCTGCTGGCAACCAGGGCTCTGTGGGCAGGTGAGGCTGAGGGGTCTATGGCCTGGATGGTCCAGGGAGTGGGCCACTCAGGGATGCTGGGTAGCGTGGATGGGCCTAGATGGACCTGACAGCCCAGCACCCATGTGTGAGAGGACCTGGATGCCCAGGGGGCTGGTGCTGGCCTTGCAGGCCCCAGGTGGCAGCAGCCCCAGCCTGGAGGCCGAACACACAGCAGGTACAGGTGCCAGGGCAGAGCCTGCCCCATCTGTGCCCAAGCTGTCGGGGCTGAGCCATGCAGCTGGCTCACCTGGTGGCTCTGGACACAGGCAGCTCTGGTAGGAATGGAGCCAGCTGTGCCCAGGCCTTGCCTGCCACAGGCTGGGCCATCAGTGGTGTAGTGGACAGGGACATGGCTGGACACGCCACGGGGTGAACTGCCAGAGGACTGTGGCGGGAAGAGACGTGTGTTGACGGAGTGTGATTTTGGCCAGGACCCAGCATGGGAGAGGACCTGCCCGGGATGAGGTGAGTGAGTCACATGGCTGGGCAGTCACTGGGGAGCCGGAGCGCGTCCTAACACGGGGCCCAGGATCCGGCTGCTCTGCCAGACGCCTTCACAGGCGCCTCCCAGCAGGTCCTCCTGGGCTCTCGCACACCGCAGGGGCCTGGCAGGGGCTCTGGGCGACACTGCCTCCTTCCTCCTACTCCCCCAGTGCTGTATCAGTCCTGGCACCACAGCCCCTACGTAAGGCCCGAGCCACATCCAGCTCACCTGCAGGAAATGCATCCTTTGAAAATGTGGCCTTTGGGGCTGGCGCTATGGCGCAACGGCTTAAAGCCCTGGCCTGAAGCACCAGCATCCCATAAGGGCTCTGGGTTCAGATTCGGCTGCTCGTCTCCCGATCCAGCTCTCTGCTATAGCCTGGGAAAGCAGTAGAAGACGGCCCAAGTCCTTGGGCCTCTGCACTCCTGTGGGAGACCAGGAAGAAGCTCCTGGTTCCTGGCTTAGGATCAGCACAGCTCTGGCCATCTGGGAGTGAACCAGCGGATGGAAGACCTCTCTGTCTCTCTCTCTGTAACTCTTTCAAATAAATAGACTAAATCTTTTTTTAAAAAAATGTGGCCTTTGGTGGTGTGGCATAGGAGGTTAAGCCACCGCCTGTGGTATCGCCATCCCATGTGGGCGCTGGTTTGAGTCCTGGCTGCTCCACCTCTGATCCAGCTCCCTGCTAATGAGCCTGAGAAAGCAGCAGAGGATGGCCCAAGTCCCTGGGCCCCTGCACCCATGTAGGAGACTTGGTTGACAAAGCTTCTGGCTCCTGGCCCAGTCCTGGCCATTGCAGCCATCTGTGGAGTGAACCAGCAGATGGAAGGTTCTCCCTCTGTAACTTTGCCTTTCAAATAAAATAAATCTTTTCCTTATGGCAGTGGCACCATCAGCACCTGCCTCGCGCGGGCCTGCAGCTCTCAAGGATGCTTCCTGTCCACATTTCCCCAGGCTCCGGAGGCAGGAGGCAGGCGCGGTCACTGCTGTCCACCTCCTGCTGGGAGATCAGGTCTGGCTTGCCCAGGGGTGTGGCAGGGACTCTGGTTGGGCCCTGTGGAGGCTGCAGGGCTGTTTGGCTCTCCAGGCACCTCAGGTGATGGGGGCTGGGTTCCCAGGGAGGAGTGACTCACGGCTGTCCCCACCCTGTAGACGGTCCCAGGGAGCTGGCAGGCTAAGGCCTGGAAGTGTAGCCACCTGGTACCAGGCACAGCTGTAGGGCCACGTGGACGCAGAGGGCCCCACCTCCAGGGCTGGGCAGGCAGCTCTCAGGCCAATCCTGAAGCCAGACCTGGTGTGTGTGTGTCTCTGCTCCATCCTGCTGGAGCCCCGTTCTCCCAGGCAAGTGACTTCTCTCCCAGGCCCACGTCCTGTGCTGATGTCCACCTCACCCTGCAGCCAAGTGCGCCCCACCTGCAGGGCTGCTTCCTGCACAGGGGACAGCAGTGTCCTCGGGGGCTTACACAGAGGGGGACACACAGGCTCCGAGAGTAAGGCTGGGGTCTCACTGTTGGGGGGGTTTCCTTAGCTGGGTAACCCAGGGGCCTCTCCGAGGGTCCCCCAACTCTGGTAGCAGAGCCCTGGGTCCTCGGACCTGCCCATGCGTGGGCTCAGCTCTGACACTGCCCCTCTGGCCACTGTCGCCCTGTTGGTGCAGGTCAAGCTCTCCCAGGCCCCCAGAAAGACCCCTGGCTTCAGGTCCCTTCCGCCTGCACTTGCCAATCTGCTGGAGCCATGACGCCCACGGGGAGGGCGTGGCCTCTGCCAAGCCCTGCTTCAGCCACCGTCAGCGCCTAAGACGGGCCCCAGGAGCTGACCCCCACTGGGCCTTCTACGGACTCCCGGACCTCTTAGGGGATGCAGCCTGCCGCCCAGAGAGCACCCCTGGGCACTCCGACCAATCTCCATCGCCCCCTCCCCCGTCTTGCTCCAGGCCCCTCTTCCCTCCCTCTGTCTCCCCCTCCCGGCCCCCTCCTCCATCCCTAACCAGGTCCCCCACCTTCCCCCCTCAGCCTCCCCCGCCCCCTCCCCCTCCCCCTCCCCTCCCTCAGCCTCCCCCGGCCCCCTCCCGGCCCGGCCCCCTCCCCCTCCCGTCCCCTCCCCCTCCCCTCCCTCAGCCTCCCCCGGCCCAGCCCCCTCCTCCTTCTAGGGAAGGACCAGGTCCCCCACCTTCCCCTCCTGCCCCTTGCTCAGCCTCCCCCAGCCTCCCCTGGCCCGGCCCCTCCCCCCTCCCTCCCCCTGCCTTGCCCCTCCCCCAGCCTCCCCTGGCCCGGCCCCCTCCTCCTCCCCTCCCGCCCCCTCCCCCGCCCCTCCCTCAGTCTCCCCGGGCCCGGCCCCCTCCTCCATCCCTAACCAGGTCCCCCACCTTCCCCTCCTGCCCCTTGCTCAGCCTCCCCAACCCGGCCCCTCCAGTTCTCTCAGCCTCCTTCTCTAAGTCCCTCCTCCGACCCCGGGACCCTCGGTCCCCGCCCACTCCGTGCTCCCCGCCTCCTCCCGGGTTCCCCCCGCGGCCCCCTCCCCTCTCCCCGCCCCCCGCCCGCGCCCGCGCCCGCGTGCTGCGTGCCCGTGACGCAGCGCCGCCTCCCGCCCCCCGCTCCCGCCTCCCGCTCCCGCGCCGCGGCCGGGCGACTGCAGGGGCCGCTAACGGTCCCGCGCCCCTCGGCGTCCGCGCGCCCCCCGCCCGGCGGACGCGGCGGCGCCGGCGGCGATGGGGGCGATGGGGGCGGCGGAGCCGCTGCGCTCGGTGCTGTGGGTGAAGCGGCAGCGCTGCGCCGTCAGCCTGGAGCCCGGGCGAGCGCTGCTGCGCTGGTGGCGGAGCCCGGGGCCCGGCGCCGGCGCCCCCGGCGCGGGTGAGTGAAGCGGCCGCCCGGGCTCGGCCTGCGCCGCGGGAGCGCGCTGGGCCTGGACCGGGGAGGCGGGGGGCAGCCCGGGGAGTGGGAAGAGGCCGGAGTCGGGGCTTGGGGAGGCGGGGCGCGGCCGGGGCGAGGAAGAGGCCCGCAGGGAAGCGCCAGGGCCGGGCAGGAGCCGAAGGACCCGGGGCCGAGGCCAGTGGTGCGGGCTTGGGTCTGGGGCCCCACCTGGACAAGGCTGACGGGATGGCTCCCGGGGGTGGCCGGCGCCTCCCCCCATCCATTTCTGTTCCGCTCCAGGACTGGTGCTTTCCGAGGTGTCTTGGAAGTTTAGGGGCTCCTGGGATGTGGTGGCGTGGGCTGCTTGCTGCGGGAAGGGGCGTGATTTGGGGGCTGCGGAGTGGCCGCAGGAACCTGAAGTGCGGTTGATACAGCCCCCGCAGACGCACCCCTCCCTGGAAGGCCCCGAGCAGGGCTGGGCTGCGACCAGGGTGCCCAGGTGGCTGTCCTGAGGCCCTGGAGCAGGGCTGTGTGGTGGCCCTAGCTTAGGAAGGAGGTGTCACTCATCCTGGGAGGTGGGAGGGGTGTTCATGCTGACCCAGGGTGGGTTCCGGCTCACTGCCTCGTTTGCAAGTTTTTATGAAGTGCCCGGTGGGGATGGTTCGGGCGATGTCCCTGACAGAGTCCCCTCTGAGAGAGGGAGTGGAGGACTCGGGGTGGGGGGGTATGTCTGATGTGCAGGCAGGTCCCTGTGGGAGCTGGGAGCAGTCCTCAGGCACACGCTGGGGTCTGACCAGAGACCTGGAGAGAGTCTGGACGCTGTGCCCATCAGCAGGAGGCTGTGTGGCGGTGGGGTGGGGGATGGGACCCAGGTCCCCCTTAGCTTTGCGGGGAGGTGGGGCCCATCCTTCTGCTGTGACTGGCATGGGAGCCCGTGGAGGGTTTCCTGAAGCTTGGTTGTTTCGAAGGACTCCTGTGGCCTCCGCGAGAAGGACGGAGTCCAGATGACTGCTGGTGGGCACTGGGCATTGTCCACTGGGGTCGGTGCCCTGTGCGGGGAGGGGGTCGTATTTGGTGGTGGAGATGAGGTTCTGTGGTGAGTCTGGGGTGCCTTGTGATCTTATAGGCAGGAGGGTTCCACGTGGTGCTTTCTGACGCTCAGCTGGGAGGCTTTTCGGGTGGGGTGAGCTTGGGGGCCCAACCCCGCGGTTTCTGGACCGAAGGTCACCTTAGCCTTGTGTTCAGGAGGCCTCCTGGGGCCCAGCCAGATCTTTTCCTGGCGTCCCCTTTGGGAGAAACGTCATGCCTCAGACATCAGCCTCGGGCCTCCTGGTGCCAGGTCCCCAGCAGGCTTCTCCTTGCCCCATCCTGGCCCCCCGGGGGTTGGAGCCCCCCCGCCCCGCACATCCAAGGCTCGAGAGTGACGCGACACGGTGTCCTGGAACACTTCCCCGAGCTGGGCACCCGCTCCTGTCCTGCGTTGACCTCTCCCCTGCTGGGTTCCCGAGGGTGGACTGAGCTCCGGGGAGTTTGCATCACAGTTGCAGCCGGGCTTGGAGGCTTAGTGGGCCCGACCGCAGCTGCTGTGCGTGTAACCCTGGGGCAGCGCGGCCAGGTGGATGCCCTGCCTCGCGGCATGTCCGGCAGGGACGTCACGTGGTGCCTGCTGTCCGCGCCGGCACCCTTGGCCAGCTACTATTACGGTTTCCGGTCACCGAGCGCGCGGGTGTGGAGTGGCGGCGGCATCCAGTCTGCTTGTTTTTGCTGGAAGCCGTTGGCTTCCTGGCTGCTGTGCTGTCTGTTGGAACGGTCATTGTTCCACTCTTCCGAAGGGGAGGCGCCCTGGTCTAGTTTGTCCAGAGCCGCAGGCCCGGGGAGCCCGGAGATAGACGGGGCCCTCCTGGCGAGTCGGGCTGCTGCGGGGCTGGGGGCTGCGAGTGGGCTTCCCTCAGGAGGCACAGGTGTGGGACCCTGTGAGCAGCACCTCTCTCTGTGTTTTCCTCCTGGCATTTCAGCCCTAGAAGGAAGGGGCCCGGGGTGGATCATTTTGTGGTTCGAGGTCAGTAGGGTCAGTTGGGTGGAATATGAGCCAGCTCACAGGACGGTTACCTTGGGAGCAGGTGCATTCCCAGCCCCCGCTGCTCTCCAGGTGTGTCTGGACACACCTGGATTGACTGGGCCCGGGCAGTGGGAGGGGGAGGATTGTGCAAACACAGGCTCCCTGAGGACTGGCTGAGGAGGCAGAGGGCAGCCCTGGGACTTGAGGGGGCAGGCGGGACTGGCCAGGGCCAGCTGCTTACTCCATCTGCTAGCACTCCTTCATTGTCTCCTCTTTGCAGACACGAGACCTGGAAGCTTTGAGTTGGCAGCGCCCCCCCGCCTCCCGGGGGGGTGCCTGTGACGCACAGCAGGGAGCTGGCTTTGCAGCCAGGCCCATAATTTTCCTTGTGGGTCACCATGCTGGGGAAGTGCTAAGTGCCCAGAGGCCCAGACAAGCACCAGATATGGGGGGGGGGTGTCTGCGCCTGGGGAGGCCGCTGCTCCCAGGCCGCGGGCGGGCGGGCGGGCGGGCGGAAGTGGGGCAGGCCGACTAAGGAAACCCAGGGAGGCGTCTGCAAGTGGGTCACAGCACTCGCGCTTGAACCGGCTGAAGATGCTCTCTGGGCTGACTTTCTCCTTCAGAGTTGGGGGTCTGGGGCTGGGAGGAGTGCGCGTGTGTGTGTATGTGTGTGGTTGAGGGGTTCCAGGAGGGGTGTGGGACTACTGTGGCTCCCCTGTCCTGGAGGACCCCCTTTTTCCGCCAGCCCCCACCTGGGATGCACCAGCACTTCCTACAAGGGGCCCAGCAAAGCCGCAGGAACTTTAACACTTTTTTTTTTCTACTTTCAAAAGTAACTGGTGTTGACTTAATGAAATCTCCAGGTGGGCACACAGGGAGAAAAAGTCAGCTCAGTGGTTCACTTAAGAAACGAGCCCTACTGGGTCCTTGTGGTTCTGGACCTACACACGGAAGAAAAGCGGGGAAATGCGGTGCGGAATGTTCTCCACACTGCTCTTTCCCCGAAGACGTCATTTTAAGAGGTCGATTTTGTAGGGGTCTGCTTTGCCATCCCGAGAAGGCAGCTCAGGGAATTTTGCTGATTGTGTGCACCTGTGTCAGCAGCGCGGGCCGGAGAACCTCCCCACCAGCAGCCGGTGCCTGCTCCGCCTTCCGGCCGGCGGGCGGGCCAGTCTGGCCCTGCACCTGCCGCTCGTCTGTGCTGACTGCTCATGTCCTTGGTTTTAAAGATTCATCACGTATCCGTGGCTCGTTGTTTGAGAGAGCGAGCAGCGTTGCATTGTGTGAGTTTACAGCTGACCTGCTGATGCGCCCCTGGAGTGCTTCCAGTTTGGGGCAGTGCGGACAAGAACACCACGGTCCCTTGGATGCACGTTTGAGAGCGGGAGGCTGGGTCAGGGGACAGCGTGCGTCCGAAGATTTGCGCGGTACTGGTTGTTCAGTGTTCTGTTGTACACACATTACTGATGCCTGTTTGTTGATGAATGGTAGAAAGGGCCTCATAATTAGTTGCAGTGGATGCAAGCCTTTCGTGTGAAAATAAAATCTGATGAGACTGTACAGGGAAACTCACAGCTGTGGATGGGCAAAGACCTTCCTGGCCTAGGGTGGAGTTTAGAAAGAATATGTAGAAGGGTAGATTATTTGACAAGATAAAAATTTAGGCCGGCGCCGCGGCTCACTAGGCTAATCCTCCGCCTTGCGGCGCCGGCACACCGGGTTCTAGTCCCGGTCAGGGCACCGGATTCTGTCCCGGTTGCCCTTCTTCCAGGCCAGCTCTCTGCTGTGGCCAGGGAGTGCAGTGGAGGATGGCCCAGGTGCTTGGGCCCTGCACCCCATGGGAGACCAGGAAAAGCACCTGGCTCCTGGCTCCTGCCATCGGATCAGCGCGGTGCGCCGGCCGCAGCGCACCGGCCGCGGCGGCCATTGGAGGGTGAACCAACGGCAAAGGAAGACCTTTCTCTCTGTCTCTCTCTCTCTCACTGTCCACTCTGCCTGTCAAAAAAAAAAAATTTAAAAATTTTATTTTGTTAAAAGACTATACATTCAGATGGGGAGGGCTGGATGTTTGGCTTGGCGGTTAGGATACCAGTTCAGATGCCTGCATCCCACGCTGGAGCGCCTGGGTTGATGCCCGGCTCCCGTGCCTGGCTCCAGCCTTGCAGGCCCCCGGAGGCCGCAGTGACGGCTCAGGCTCTCAGCCGTGACCCGGCCCAGCCCTGGCCCTTGCAGGCATCTGAGGACTGAGGCAGCAGATGGCAGTTCTGTCTCTTTTCCTCTGGGATTAAAAAGAACAATGATAGCAATGATATTTGCTGCAAACACAATAACCAAAGGGTTACACTTGTGTTACAACATGAACATTGATAGGAGGGCTGCAGACGCTCGTGGGAGACGTGACAGCCACGTGCACCGTCTGTTGCCGACGGGAGGAAACAGCTCAGCGGGGGTGATGAGCACCCCGCCCCTGCCAGTCAGGGCTGGGGCAGTCGTGGCGCCTCGGGGAGTCCCCTGGCCCACAGCCCGAGTGGGTGATTCTGAAAGGCAACAGGTGGATCGTCTGACACTCAGGACTGCGCGGCGCCCCAGGGAGTGAGGCGCCTTGGTACTTTGGAGGATGTGTTCTCTGTTAAGATGCTGCCAGTATTTTTTACTTTCTGCTCCCCCACCCAGTGTAGATTCTTGCATGGCAGAACTTTATGGAGCGCGCGGTTGCTCTCTGCCTGTCGCGTTGGTTACTTGGTGACCAAGGAGCTGGCCCCAGGAGAAGCAGGGTTCAGCTGGCTGTCTCGTCCTGACCTTGCCATCTCGGGGGACCTGTCCTGACACTTGGTCGTCTGTGTTGATTTCCCTCGAGCGTTGGCTCCACATTTCTAACTGGAGACACTCTCTGGGCTCTGCACAGCTCACGCCCTCCCCCCGGCCAGCTGCCGTGTCCTGGATGGCCCAGCTGCTTCCGACCTCGTGCCCCGCGACTCTCCTGGCAGCTGGACGTGGCTCTCTTTTTGCCACTGCCCTGCCCCAGTCCTCCCCTCCACCCGTCCTCTCACTGGTCAGTCTCCTGAGATCTAGCACACCTCTGAATGTTGACCCCTTGGTGGTCAGGGCCCAGGTGTAGGGTGCACGTCCAGGTGGAGACCTGCCTCTGAGCTCCTGTCCGTGCTGAAGCCCCACGCCACGGCAGTGCAGCTTTGCCCCGCGCTGGGCTGCCGCTTGCTGGCTGGCCGGGCTCCCCATGGTCTGGCGCTGACCTTCCCCATGCCCTTGGCCCACCTGTGCTGCTGCCGATGTGCCGCTGCGCACCTGTACCTTCCACCTGCTCACCGTGGCCCCCTGTGTCCAGAATGTCTGCCTCCCGTTTCTTCCTGTCCAGCCCAGAGGACTCACCTGATGCCTGGCCCTGAGGCCACCTTTTCCTTCTGATTTTCTGCACAAACCTTTCTGCTGGCCATTTCTTTCTACTTTGTGTTATAGGTGGTTGTTGTTTTTTTCTTTTCCCGTGTATTTGTTCCGTCTCTCCTGCCTTCCCTGTGGGGCAGAATCCTTGTTGGATTCTCCCTTCCTCTCCATTCTCCAGGAGCTCCCCAGAGGGAATTGAATAACCTTCCGAATGGGTGAGGGTGTGCAGGGCAGGCCTGGCCCGCCCTGGCTGGGTGCTGGCATGAGAGAGCCAGGCTTGGTGTGTGGAGGGCTCAGGCCGATGACGCCAGCCTGTTGCCGTGAGGAGCAGGATCGAGGGGCTGGGGTGCTCTTTAAGCACCTACACTTTTCTCTAAAGGGATGTGGCCTGAAGCTGTGGGAAGTGGCAAGCCAGCCCCGTGGTTTGTATAAAGCCCCCAAATCCTACGTGATCCTGTGAGAAGCCCACAAATTCTCAAGTGTTGCCTGTGCCATAGGCATCTGCCGTGTGCCCTGAAATACCTACCCGCTGTGTGCTGTGATATACCCACTGTGGGCTGTGACACTTGTTGTGGGCTGTGATATACCCACTGTGGGCTGTGACACCTGCTGTGGGCTGTGATATACCCACTGTGGGCTGTGACACCTGTTGTGTGCTGTGATATACCCACTGTGGGCTGTGACACCTGTGTGGGCTGTGATATACCCACTGTGGGCTGTGACACCTGCTGTGGGCTGTGATATACCCGCTGTGTGCTGTGATATACCCACTGTGTGCTGTGACACCCGCTGTGTGCTGGGACACCCGCTGTGTGCTGTGACAACCACTGTGTGCTGTGATATGACACCTGTGGGCTGTGACACCTGTGGGCTGTGACACCCACTGTGTGCTGTGATATACTCACTGTGTGCTGTGACACCTGCTGTGGGCTATGACACCAGCTGTGGGCTGTGACACCCGCTGTGGGCTGTGCAGTACCCACCCACCATGTGATGTGAGAGTTTTGTTGCTGCCCCATATAAAGTCAGTATGAACAGACAGACCGTGGAAAGCTAGCGGCCTGCCTGTCTTTGTACGGGGGCAGCTCTGTGTCTGCTTAGGAAGCCGATTGCAATCCTGTTTCAGACACAGCCCGAATCCCCTCCAGATTTGCATCAGAGCCAACTGAGAAAGGAGAAGTGGGCAGCCGCCTTGGGCTGTGGCGTCAGAGGTCAGGGCGCCATGGCCCTCCCTGTGGCGTCTCCTTAGGCTTTTTCCTTACTGGGAGCCGACATCATTCAGCAGGAGTTGAACAGGGTCATAAAACATTGTAATTATCCCGACTTGATTCCAAGGTTAACCTTTGTTACCGTGAAATGGGTCAGCAGATATTTTCTTAAAGGACCAGCCGGCAAATATCGCAGGCTTTGTGGGCTGTGTGGTCTTTGTCACAGCGCTGAACCCCGCTGATGCAGCGCACCAGCACCGGGAGATGACACGCAAGCAAACAAGCGTGGCTGTGTGCCCATAAAACTTCGCTTACAAAGGCAGGTGGCTGCTGGCTTTAGCCCACGGGTTGTAGTTGGCTGGCCCCTGCTCCCAGGCGTTACTAGTGAGGACAGAAAAACAACCTGACGTATTGTAGAAGCAGCTGTTCCACTTGGCTAAAAATATTTTGACTTTCCAAAAACTGAAAAATAATCCGACATCTGGAAGCATTGCCGCTGTAGTTGGGGAACAGGCCCATTTGGAAGCCTGACCCCGCTGTGCGCACAACACCTGCAGGACGCCCGCCAGGCAGGGGTGGGCGTCAGCCCCTCTGTGGAGCGCTGTGCACATCTGTCACTGACCAGCTGCCTCGGGAGCGGCCCAGGTCATCTCTTTAGAACCAGCCTTGTAGCAAGCTGCCCATGTCACCCAGTGCGAAGGTAGCTCAAGACAGGACACGCGTGTGGCAGCCACGTGGCCGCTCGGAGAGCTGCGTGATCTGTGGCCGTGTGGCCCAGGGTTCTGTGTGCCGATGGGGCCCTGTCACTGCTGGTGGTGTCGAGATTCTCTCTCCCCTCCCCCCCACCGCAGCTGGTGTCAGGGAGAGGGGGTTAAAATGTCCAAATATAACTGGACTTAGGGGTTTCTCCTTTGAGTTCTACTGGCTTTTATTTTTAATTAATTAATTAATTTGAAAGAGTTACAGAGAGAGGGGGGAGAGAGAGAGAGAGAGAAAGAGAGAGATCTTCCATCCGCCAGGTCAGGCTGAAACCAGGAGCCAGGAACTTCAGCCCGGTCTCCACTTGGGTGCGGGGGCCGTCCTCAGCCGTTTCCCGGGCGCACTAGCAGGGGCTGCTCTGGAAGTGGAGCAGCCAGGACTCAAAGTGGTGTCTCTCTGGGATGCCAGCACTGCAGACCGGGCTTAACCGGCTGCGCCACCGCGCCGGCCCCCTCTCCTTCCTCTCTGTGGATGATTCAAATGCTTCTGAGGATTTCACTTCCATTTCTCTGCTTTTTAACCCCCACGTTAGTGTTCAGACTGTGTTAGAGTAGCCGATGTCTCTGTTCACAGTCTGCCTGTGCTTGCCGTGCGTGTCCCCTGACCTGGGAGGGGCTCGCCCAGCCTCTGCGGTGGTGCTGGAGTGCAGCACGGAACCCTCGTGTCCCCGTCTCGTTTATTCCTTCTACGGGCGCTCAGAACCGCATCGGTGCTATGGTCCACAGCCCTCGCGCCTCGCGTGGAAACCTCCGGAGGTGGCGGAATGTCTGGAACACCTGTGCTCACCCTGTGCCACGTTTCCCTCCTCCAGGCTGCCTCATCTCTCCTCGTCTTTCTGTGTCCAGTTCTTGAGCCGTTCCCCTGGGCGAGTCTGCTGGCCACAAGTTGTCTTGATTCCCTTTGTCTGGGGGACATGTTTGCTGGAATTAGGATTCCAGGGGGACAGTTCTTCCCTCACCACTTAAGGAATGAGCCACTGCCTTCAGGGCGACACAGGGGAAGAGAGAGAGAGAGACAGAGATCTTGCAACCATGATTCACTGCCCAAATGCACAGAGCAGAGCCCAGAACTCCATCCTGGTCTTCCACGTGGGAGGCAGGGGCCCAAGCACTTAAGCCACCACCTGCTGTGCCCACTTGGGGGGGAGTGAAAGAGCAGGACCAGGGACCAGGCACTCTGGGGGTGGGTGGATGCAGGAACCAGGCACTCTGGGGGGGGGGGGATACAGGGCAGGAACCAGGCACTCTGGGTGGGGGGTGGTGGATGCAGGGACCAGGCACTCTGGGGGGGGGATACAGGGACCAGACACTCTGGGGGGGGGATACAGGGCAGGAACCAGGCACTCTGGGTGGGGGGTGGTGGATGCAGGGACCAGGCACTCTGGGGGGTGGATACAGGGACCAGGCACTCTAGGGGGGATGCAGGGCAGGGACCAGGCATTCTGGGTGGGGGGATGCAGGGCAGGGACCAGGCACTCTGGGTGGGGGGATGCAGGGCAGGCACTCTGGGGGGGATACAGGGCAGGGACCAGGCATTCTGGGTGGGGGGATGCAGGGCAGGGACCAGGCACTCTGGGTGGGGGGATGCAGGGCAGGCACTCTGGGGGGGATACAGGGCAGGGACCAGGCCCTCTGAGTGGGGGGATGCAGGGCAGGAACCAGGCATTCTGGGGGGGATCAGGATGCCCTTGCAGCATCTTCCCTTTGTGCCACAGCGCCAGCCCCAGGCCCCATCTGAGGGGCACTCAGCTTGTCGAATCTGTAGGATTTTGTCTTTTGCCAAAGTTGGGGATTTGCCAGCCATACCTCGAGTGTTTCTCCAGCTCTGCTCTTCCTCCCCTCCGGGAACACCAGTGCAGTGGATGTTAGATCTTCTGTTAGAACCTGCAGGCCCGGACTCTGTTTTTCTCTTTTTTCCAAGCTGGATGATTTCTGCTTTCTTGCCTTCCGTCCTTCCACGGAGTGCACCTGTCTGTCCTCTCTTGGCTTGCTGCATGTTTGAGTCCTGAGCCTTCCGCTTGTCCACTTGCTCTCCCTGCCATCTCCTTTCTTTACCTGGCCTCTCTGCGAGGCTTGCTGGCGCCGACCTCCATTTGTTTCAGGTGGATTTGACATTGCTTGTGAAGCACGTTCCTGCCTGAGAGGGCCAGCGTCCTGGCCGCCGTGGTGTTAGCGTGCGCTGCTGGTGACCTTCCTGGTTCTGAGTGTGGTCACTGATTTCCTACTGAAGTCTGGACGTTTGTAGAACGACCTGAGACTCCAGCTCTCACATGAACCTTCTGTTTCAGCTGTGGTCTGTGATGCCGCTGCTCCCTAGAAGAGGGGGCCCTGGCCTGGCGGGGGTGGGGACTGACTCCCCGCTAGGCCTCCATGCCTTGTTGCTGTTCCCCAAGGTGTGGTGGTGAAAGTGCTGAGTCTGCAGGGGTCACCCGGGGGAGGAAGAGGGGAGGGAGAGTCCAGGCTGCCCTTTGGTGCCCACTGACACCTGGGGAGGGAGGAGTGAGGCCTTGGCCGGCTGCTGACTGCTTGGCTTAGCACAGCCCTGGCAGGGGTTGTCGGGCGTCTCAGCACAGCCTCTTGAGGGTGGGGCTGGGCTACAGCTGGACGTTGCTGACTGGGGCGGAGGGAGATGGGCCCGTTGCTCTGAGGAGGCTGCCCCTTTCCTGGGCCTTGGCTCGGGACAGCAGGTGCTTGCTGGGTCTTCTGTTTGCACCCATTGGCACTGGGGGACTTCAGGCTGCTTCAGCTCCAAATCCAAGACACATGAGGCCAAAGGAAACCCAGGGCACCCGCACCGTGTCCTCTCTCAGGTCCCCAGGTCCCGGGGCAGCTGCCTCCTCTCCAGCTTTGCAAGTCTCGTGCTTGTTTCATGAGTGGCGAGCACATGGTCCATTTTCTCAGAAGCAGTCCCTGTGCATTTAAGACACTGTTTTCCTCTGTGTTGCTCAGAGTGGAAGAGAGGATTCCGGTTCAGCCCGGCTGCCCTTCCTGTGTCTGCTCCAGCGCGGAGCCCGCCCAGCGATCTTCATTTCAGATACTGACCTTCCCAGCCCTGAGTTTCCATTTGTTTGTGTTTTTGGTATGATTTGTTTATTTTACTTGGAAGACACACACAAAGAGAGATTGAGATTGTGATCTTCCATCTGCTAGTTCACTCCACAGATGGCCGCAGCAGCGGAAGCCAGGAGCCTGGAGCTCCATCTGGGTCTCCCCTAGGTGCAGGGGCTCAGGCACTCGGCAGTCCTCTGCTCTCCAGGGAGCGAGCTGGCAAGTGCAGCAGCTGGACTCTAAGGTGTAACATGGACAGCTGGCCTGACAGTTTCTCTTGTGCTCCTGAAACCTTGTATCTTTCCGTCTACTTTGAGGATACCTAAGTGAGCAAGTTTGCAACAGTTACCTAGTAACAGACACCTAAGCGAGCATGTTTGCAACAGTTTTTTTGAAGGTTTTATCAGATACTGCCAATATCCAGGTCACCCTAGGTTTGTCTGGTGCCCACTGGTTGTTCCCCTGAGAGTGTTAGTGTTTCCCGGCTCTTGGTGTGTCACTTAACTTGGAATTGTATCCTGGACAAGATGGAATCCTGTTACAATACTTCAGAGAATTTTCCTTTTTTTAAAGCCAGCACTCAGCCAGGCTGGGCAACAGTGGCAAGTCTGGTGCCGGGAGGGAGTCCCTGGGTTTCTCTCCTTCTCGGGGGCCCCGGCCCTGCTGCTGTGCCGCCTTTGGCCAGGGGAGTGGGTTTTCTGTTTTCCACGGTCTGTACCTGCTCTTCCTTACCTCTGCTGCCCTCAGCCCACGGTGGAAATGGAGGAAAGGAGCAGCCCTGAGACTTGGGGCCCCGCCTTGCAGCTCCTCCCTGGTGCACCTGCCACGGCTTCCGTGTCCTTGGCTGGTCCCCTGTTCTGCTGTCTTGTGCAGGGTTGCTGGTTGTGTTCAATGGGAGAGAGG